TCCCAGATTAAGCTACTGCACTAGACTACTGCACTCGTGTTTTGCACAGACAGAACGCAAGACTCTGGTAAGAGAAGATAGACTCCTTTTTCAGCCACAACCACAGTTTTCTCTGGACCCCTGCCAAATCTGACCAGTGATGACATGTATAGCCGCATGTCGTCATTCCGCCGCTGGTTGTCGAGGTGGTGTCCAGCAAACGATGTGGGCTTTGTTGATCATTGGCAGACTTTCTGGGGAAGACCTGGTCTGATCTGGAGAGACGGCATCCATCCCACTTGGGAAGGAGCAGCTCTCATTTCTAGAAATCTGGCCAAGTTTATTAGTGGACCAAATCCATGACAACCCAGAGTTGAGACCAGGAGGCAGAGTCGCAGTCTAATACACTTCTCTGCCCTTCTAATTCAGCAGTTACCCACCCAAAACCCTACGCAGAGTTGCAGTCTAACACACTTCTCTGCTCCTCCATTTCAGGAGTTACCTAGTCAAAATCCTATAGACTGAGTGTCTGTCCCCCGACCACTGAAACCTTATAAAAATTAAAACCACAAGAGCAATAGGGCAAACTAACAGGAAAATTAAATGTGGACTCTTCTAAAGGTGTACTAGTAAATGAACTAATATCAGATTATGATTGATTTATTTTGTCTTACTGAAACCTGGCTGGGTGATGGAGAATATGTTAGCCTAAATGAATCCACCCCTCCCAGTCATATTAATACTCACATTCCTCGAGGCACAGGCCGAGGAGGTGGAGTTGCAGCTATCTTCAACTCTAGCCTACTAATCAGCTCTAAACCTAAACTAAATTATAACTAATTTGAAAGTCTTGTTCTTAGTCTTTCACACCCAAGTTGGAAATCACTGCAACCAATTCTCTTCGTTATAGTGTACCGAGCACCTGGCCCGTACTCTGAATTCTTATCTGAATTTGCAGAGTTTTTGTCAACTTATTATTGTAGGGGATTTTAATATTCATGTGGACGTTGAGAATGACAGCTTTAGTACTGCGTTTATCTCTCTGTTAGATTCCATTGGCTTCTCTCAGAGTGTTCATGAACCGACTCACTGTTTTAACCACACCCTCGACCTTGTTTTGGTGTATGGTACTGAAATTGAACATTTAGTGGTGTTCCCACAGAATCCCTCTTTGTCCGACTACTGTTTGATAACTTTTGAGTTTGTATTGCTGAACTACACGCCATTGGGCAAAAATTTCTATACAAGATGTCTGTCTGATAGTGCTATAGCTAAATTTAAGGATGCGATTCCATCAGCTCTAAATACATTATCTAGTCACAAAGTAACGGAGGACTCCTATGCTAATTTCAGTCCCTCCCAAATCGATCATCTTGTTGATAGTGCTGCAGGCTCGCTGCGAATGACACTCGACTCTATAGCCCCTCTAAAAAAGAAAATACTAAAACAAAGACGGTTAGCTCCATGGTATAATACTGAAACTCGCAAATTAAAGCAAATATCGCGGAAACTTGAGAGGAATTGGTGTTCCACCAAACTGGAAAATTCTCGTTTAATTTGGCAAGATAGTCTTAAAACTTATAGGAAGGCCCCCCGTAATGCCAGAGCAGCGTACTACTCGTCATTAATAGAGGAAAATAGGAACAACCCCAGGTTTCTTTTCAGCACTGTAGCCAGGCTGACAGAGAGTCACAGCTCTATTGAGCCAAGTATTCCCATAGCTCTCAGTAGTTACGACTTCATGAGCTTCTTTAATGATAAAATTCTAACTATTAGAAACAAAATTCACCAAGACCTGCCCTTAACTGGCACCGACTTATCTCTAAACTCAGGAACCTTAGAAACAGCTGTAAAACCAGATATATGTTTAGACTGTTTTGCTTCCCTCAATCTTTACCAACTAACTTCAATAATTTCTTCATCTAAACCATCAACCTGCCTCTTAGACCCCATCCCGACTAGGCTGCCTAAAGATGTTTTACCCTTAGTCAGCACCTCTATACTAGATATGATCAATCTATCTTTATCAACAGGCTAGTCCTGAACCATCCCTTAGTTATGCTGCTATAGGCCTAGACTGCCGGGGGACTTCCCATGATGCACTGAGCTCCTCTCTCCTCTACTTTTTCTCCCTCTGTATGCAACCTCATCCCATTATTGCATGTTACTAACTCAACTTCTCCCCTTTCCGGTAGTCTTGTGCTTTCTCGTCCCTCTCCTCTCTCCTCCTATCACTTCCTGCAGGTGTTTCTGGCTCTGGAGCTGTGGAGTCTGGACCTGTGTTTGAGGGTCACCTGCTGCCCCCGTGTTCCTGCTCGACACCCTCTGCTACAACAACTATTGTTACTAGTCCTATTGTTATTATTGTTATTATAATCATTAACATTACGATTGTTATCATTAACACTACTATAAATATCTGTACCATTTTTCATTTAGTCTATAGCAACATTACCTTTACTGTCTGTACCTCTGTGTGTATATTGTGTATGCTGCCTCCCTCCCCTCTTTCTCTCCTTCCATCCCTCTCTTTTTCTCTCTGTTCCTCTCTTGCCCTCTCTCTCTCTCCTTCACCCCCAACCGGTCGAGGCAGATGGCCGCCCACCCTGAGCCATGGTTCTGCTCAAGGATTCTTGCCTCTGTCGCCTAGTGCTGCTCTTGGTGGGAATTGTTGGGTTTCTGTAAATAGCATCATAGAGTACGGTCTAGACCTGCTCTTTTATGAAAAGCGCTGTGAGATAACTGTTGTTGTGATTTGGCGCTATATAAATAAAATTGAATTGAATTGAATATACACATACTGTATACTGTATTAAGCTGGAAATAATCCATGCGGTCCTGCAGATGCATTTCACACTTGTCTCATGAGCGTAGAAAACTAAACATGTACATCCTAGGTGTACAGTACTGACATCCAGAACAGCAACACCAAAAAGCAGTTCTACTTCTACCTGTTTAGAGCACTCAGAGAATCTACAAGTACAGATTCAAAGGTCAACAGTGAGTTTTGTGGTAAGATTTCCCTTCTACAGCCAGAACAGTGTTCATCCATCAATACTGACAGCCATGCAGAAAGTGATAGCCCGACTGTTCCAGCCAATGCAAATAAACGGACTGATTACACTCTTATGAAAGCTGCCTTTAGGAGTGCGAGGAACATTTTTCCTCCAGTTAATATCCAGCTCATACACTCTATACCACAGGCTAGATTATCAAAACTGTTAAATGCCAGAATGAGTAGTGATGACATAAAATGTTTTGTCACTCACAGGGAGACAAAATGATTAATTCTATTCTTGATCTATTTTGTGACATTATAGAGAAGTTCTGTTCATTGTCATTTTATGAGACAAATTGATAATTGGTCAAATCTATGTGCTCATATACTCACAAATGTTTCATATGCTTCTGAGCTGATCACTTTGTTCTACTTAGCTCAATCTGTATGAGCCAGTATGTTAGACCAGAGGTAATTTGATGACAATTGTTTTTACAAAAAATGAATATTACCATGGAATATGACCCTTTTGATTAGAAATTGTTGTCAGTATGCTAACGCATCAATTGATCATCAATCAAATAATTTTAGCACCAATATTCCCGTCAACCTCACACTCCAATGAAAATTTGCTTGATGTGCTTCAGCAGGCCAGGAAGTTCTGGAGAAACCTAAATTCGCATACCTTTGCTTTGGTGCAAAGCTCCAGCCCTTCTGGCCTTCCGGCAACCTGTCTCCTTCTTCTGATGTTAGCCTTCTGATCACAACTCTGAGCAGCTGTCTCCACAATGGCCACATGGCCCAGTTCACCCTCACTACATGTTTGGGATTTATCGGGTCTGTCTCATAGTCTCCCCGGCCACCTGATCAAGCTCACCACCAGGAATTGATCAGTTGACAGCCCTGCTGCTCTGTTCACCCAAGTATCTAAGACATATAGCAGCAGATCTAATGATACAACCACAAGGTCAATCATTGACCTTTAAAGTACGGGTTAGGGAGGTGTCCTGTCCAGGGCCCCACCCAGAGACTCTGAGAAGCCTGGATACTTCCAAATACTGTTCGGTGCATAGGCACAGCAGTCAGAGCCTTCCTCTCAGAGGGTGTCTTCACGCAGTTGTGTAGACACCCTCTCATTCTCTGGAAAGAACTCCAACACACGAGTCAGTCCCTACCAGTGTTATAATAATAATATTGCAGTTTTTAATCCAAGTAACGCTGCGTTACTTTGTTACAAGAACATGATTTGTTTTGTTGTTCTTGACGGATAGGCACGACTGTCAGGGTCAGTTCAGACTGAGCAGCCAGACCATATGTTGTTCAAGCCAGCTGCTAGCCAAAATGTTACAGGTGGACAGCTTCCACAGCTGGAAGTATTAACATTATTGTGAGTTTGTCAGTTTAGATGCAAAGGACATTGTCGTCCGCTGTGAAAATACTTTAGCCCATTAACAGAACAAGTAACGTAGCTAATTACTTTTCAGACCCACTAATGAGTAAAGTAATAGCCTATTGTTACTTTTTTAAGGAGTAATAAGTAAAAAGTTTTCAGTATTCCTGAGTAACTTGCCAAACACTGGTCCCTACACCTGCAGTCTTTTGTGTATTTTTGGTATTTAAGCTTCTTCAAGAGCCCTCCTACCATTTAAATGCCTCTGAATGATGATTACTTTAATTTAATAGAGAAATGATGAAGCTGTATAGAGTATGGGAGCCATACAACTGACACACATCAGTAATTATAATAAAATATTATTAATATATAATATAGCTGTAAATATTGTACAGAGTAGGCCTATAGCCAAGCAGTTTATGGTAGTGTTGACACACACTCAAACACACATTCTTATGCCTAGCGCGCGCGCGCGAGAGAGAGAGAGAGAGAGAGAGAGAGAGAGAGAGAGAGAGAGAGAGAGAGAGACGGTCTTGTCTGAGGGGTTTTCAGACCACTTCAGTTCGCAGTCTTCTGCAGTCCTGGTCTGTGTATTTGTTGAGAACATCTGATAATTTCAGTTCCTGTCCTCTTTGTTTTTCCTTGCGCGATTCCAAGTGCATCCCCAGTGCCAGCCCGTGAAAACACCGTGAAGTGGACGCGGCGTCATTGCAACTTTGTCTGCTGTTACTGTGGAACAGGTGAAGCTGGGGAGTTGAACAAAGCTTTGTCAAGGATGGTTGGACGTGTGCAGTTCTGCTCTGGCTTTCGGGGGTGCGTGAAGGGCCTGTAGTCTGGTTTGTCGGGTTCAGATAACAGAATTCTGCTCGTTATTTTAATTTTTTAAAGGATTCCAGACGGGATGCCAGAGCGGGTTTTCATCTCTAAGTGACACAGCTGTAGGCTAACCTAAGCGGAGTCTTAGCCTATTCTTATGCAAGAATCATTCATCTCAAACTTCCAGAAATGAAGGAAAAATGCAAGAACGCGGCGAAGACGCGGCGAGAGAAAGAAAACGGAGAGTTTTATGAGCTGGCGAAGCTGCTGCCTCTGCCTGCGGCCATCACCTCCCAGCTGGACAAGGCCTCCATCATCCGGCTGACCAGCAGCTACCTCAAGATGAGGGCAGTCTTCCCAGACGGTAGGCACTCCGCGCAAACTGCCAGAGGGGGAACATGCATGACCACAATTGTAGAAAAAAGGGCATTCACGTTTCCAGGTTTGATAAAGTCTATCCAAGACCGGAAAGGACAAAAAACGGGAACAAATAGGCTACAGTGACTGTTTAACCAATTTAAAACACTCAGAAACAAAACAGAATCCAGAGCATAGGCCTACGATTTATAACACAGTCAAGAGTCAATATAGTCATTGTCAAATCATAACCATTTGTATAAGAGAGAAGGCCTATCACAAAATCAGGGACCTGATTTCTTGAGTGTGAAATACCTATATATCAGAACTGAAAGTAGCAACAAATGGATACTGCTTCACTTTATTGATACATTCCAAATAGCACAATTTGTTAGTAAGGTACCCCAGGCTATTCCATAAGAACAGCGGCCGTGCAGAGCTCTGTGGTTCAGAGAATCACACTGTGACAAACAAATCCATACACTGCTTTTTTGGCACCACTTTCTGATAAGGCATAATTTGTACATGTTCTTAAAGTAATTTAGAACAGTAAATAAACCATTGATAAAGTACTTTATCAATGGTTGAAATAATGTATCAATGTTTTATATAGGCTATTATTTATTTAAAAAGAGACGTCCATGTGTAGGCTATAGCCTATAATTTAATTTACAACCATAAATAACTGCATTACTTCTAAATAGATTTAATTTCAGCCAAAGGCATTTTCACACGCTGGCAACCCCAGTGTTGGTGTTGTTAACAGATTCTAAAGTAGGCTAAATTATTTAACTTGCACAGCCAAAAGTTAGAAACAAATCCTTTATAATGAGGACTTATTGGAACCCGTTAACCTCTTTGCTGCTCTAAAACAAACTAGTGATTTAAAGTTTAAAATAAACTTTAAGTTAAAATAGCCTATACAGTGATAAATACTTTGCTGGTCGTCTTTTCCTCAGAGCTTTCTACAACACTGAGAAGTAAAGGCTATTTGTAGGCTACTACAACTTGGTCTGAAAGTAGGCCTAATAATAATAATAGCAATAATAATAATTATTATTATAGCCTAATTGTGTTTGTCTGCTCGCAGTAGGCCCAGTAGCAGTGAAGGTATACAGCGTGATCCTCCCTCAGACCTAATCTCTGCTCATTTACTTCATTATGGTGTCAGCGCAGTTCCCGCTCTGATTAAACGCGAATGTCCACTTTAAACGCCTCGCTCATTCATCAAGGTGAATTATTTCATTAGGCCGCATGCAGCTACACTGGGGCAGGTTAGAGGGCAGGAAAACAGAGCTTTTCCTCTCTGTCATCACTCATAAAGTCAGACTGAACACACGGCCTTTCACGGACGGGCCACCGCGGCAGCCGGCCGAGCTGTCAGCGGTCTCCTCCAAGGCAGGCCGGTGAGTCCACAATGCTCAGGAAGCCAAAGTCGCTGTGATCCACAATATCATGGATGCATTTTGTGGTGGATTAGTTTGTAGTCCTGTTATCCCAATACATGTCCGTAACGCATAGCCGCGGGGACGGCAGTGAGGTTAAGTAAGGCCTAAGACAAATACTGATGGTCCATAAATGAAATGAGGATTTAGCCTAGACTACAACAGGCCGGTAGCAGCCTGTCTTTTTTTCTGCAAAATAGCGTTTCTTAATTTTGAATACCGCCTTGTTATTAGGCTGGTAATTAGGTTTATCTTCCTGCTAAAACATTTCATTGCTAATGGAGCCACAAAAACAAAGGAAAACAAAACAACAACAAAAACAGGCCTAATAACAGAATTAGCAAGCTTAGAACCCAGACGTCTAGGTTAAAACGGGGCTGAATTTGGGCTGTCACTGAGTAGATATCTAACTATAGCCCAAGAATAGACTATTCATCAAATAGACAACAAAATAATGTCTAAAGTATTTTTTTACTCAAATATAACAAGTTCTCACAAACTGCAATCCATTCAAAGATTTATAATTAAGAAAGGGGATTACAACAGACAACTTCAGATAAAAGGCTACAACATGATAAAAATGTAAAGGAATTAATGACAAAATATTATTATTATAGTCGATATTATTATAAATAAAAATACAATTATATATATAGACAGTGAAATAAATATAGAAACAATTTTTACAACAAAGGTGATAAAAATGTAAATAACGACAAAATAAATGGGTTAAGCTATCCAAATCTGAATCTTCATCCAAGCTGCTACTTGATGCAGCAAGAGCATCAACTCTTAGTCGGAGTCAGTCTCTTAGGTAACTATCCATGACCCATATTTGTTTAATATGTAAGAATATGAATAAAAATAAACATTATAATTGATATAATATAATAAATGTTCACTGTTATTCCATAAGACATGTCTGACTACTATCATCATATATTTTGAAATTAAAACATACAGTATACTTATCAGTAGACATCATTCTAATGAAGGTTTTTTATTTATAACCTATTTTTCCCCTTAATTTAAAGCCCTTCTTTATTACTGGCCTATTTATATCTATGAAAAATATTACTTTACATTAACAGAACACGTTTTAGCCACCATGCTTCATTAGAAAAACCAAACAGACTGCTTTTATTCTTTTGTGAGAGCAATGTGCAGTGAATGTAAGTGTGTTCTGTTCTGAAGTCTTTTACTGTTGTGCTTTCTTGACTGTATGCTGGATAATTTGCAATAAACATAAGTTAGTATCAAAAGTCAAAAACTCATATTTTCATACCATAATGATCAAACGAGTGTGTCTTTTATAACAAAATATAATAGGTTGCACATGTTTCATGTTCACCCCCTTTAAATTCAGATAATTAAATGTAAGAGTTTTTAAGGGCATGAGGAGACCCAGTTGTCATGGGGTTACAGTAACAGTGTTGGACAAATTGCTCAGAAATTGTAACGAGTTACTTTTTACTTATCACTCATTTAAAAAGTAACAATATTACTTTACTTATTACTGGGTTTTAACAGTAAATAGTCACGTCACTTCTTGCGTTACAATAACTTTCAACCACCCCACCCCATCCTTAAAAGTGACGGAACCTGTTCAGCAGCGCATTTTGGAAATGAATCCACTTTACTGGAACAATAATTAACCTAAGGCAGCCGGAGGATGCTGTATCATATATGCTATTGTTATAAGCTATTTAAAAATAATAAAAAACAAAGCAGGTCCTCCCCGACATTTTAACTAATCGCGTATTCATAACAGCATCAATGAGTAGGATTTTTACGAAGCATGTAACGTTTTCTAACGCCACTGTCTGAGATTAAAAAAAATCAAGCAAGTGTCTCGACTTTTGAACTAACGTTACTCTTCTGCACATGCATTTATAAGAGAAGTATTCAGTGCTTTTACAAAACACAAAACAAGGATTAATGCCACTACTGCCAAGTGGATGCATCACTGGCAGCAGCTGCCGGAGTTTCTTTCTACAGGCTAAGTTTCACGTTGCTTTGCTGCTTTAGCATATGCTTCAATACAAAGTTGTTCGCAGTTGAAAGCTTATTGCTGGTCGCACAAAGTTTACAACGGAAGACAATCAATGTTCTTTGCATCCCTGAGCATGACACAGCTAGGCCGAATGGCAGTACTTAGAGCTGTCGTTCGCCATTCTTCCTTAAGCCTTTTGGCTAGCAGCCCACTTGAACAACATTAGGTTTGGTGTCGCTGACCTGCAGCGCGGTCCTGCATGTTATATTAATATGCAAGTGCAACACAAACAAAAAGACCAAAGTAAATGTCCTCTTGTTTCATACGTTTGCAGTAGTGCTCTCACCCGTTAGACAGTTCACTCTCGTTCAAAAACTAAAAAATGTGAAAATGCTTATTATGAGATCTGGCAACGCAGATGTCCACTAATTTTCAAGTCTCACGTTGCCAGTAGTCATGTCTCAGTAGGGCTACAATTGCCATCAAGTGGATGAAAATAGTAATTGCATTTTGTTTTAGATTAAAATGAAAGTTAATGTAGTGGACATTTTGTGTGACAGCGAAAATGAGGGTAATTTAAATGTTTCACATGTTTACTTGCATATGACAATACGATGTCTCATACCTCACAAGCTGCATGGGCGAAAACTACATGTAACCAAATTTACATTTTATTAATTTAGCTGAAGCTTTTTTTTGTCCAAAGCGAATTACTATTGCTCTATAAGTCATAGGTCGCACACCTCTGGTTAAGTGCTTTGCTCAGGGACACAATGGTGGATGGGGAAAAGTGGGCTTCAAACCAGGGTCTCTGACACCAAAGGCATGTGTCTTATCCACTGCTCCATCCCCACCCTAGTTTTGACACTAATTTGACTGTACTCATTGCTGGTCTGAAACAGGGCTATAGCCAAGCATTAGTACACTGATTGCCTCGATTTCACTGGGAGGGCTAAAAGCACACTACTTGTAGCCTGTACAAACCAGAGCCAAATCGTGGCTACAGATAGACCATGTCAATAAAATGACACTTACTATCTTGTATATATTATGGACAGTGCAAAAATAATGGGATATCAACCATCTCTCGTGCTGCCTGGGCAAAAACCACAATTAATCAGTTTTGACCATTTTGACTAAAAGTGGGCCACAAATAGCCGGTCTGACCAAGAGCTAAATTGTGACAAAGCACAGGCTATGCATAGAACATGTCAAAGAAATGAAAATAAAAAACATTGTAATCACTGTTGACTTTGCTTACATGATGGAATATCATACACCTTGCAAGTTATTTTTGCAAAAACGTTATGTAACCAAATTTAGGTTATTGTGGCTAGACGTGGTTACTCATAGCCAGACTAAATTGGGTTTATAGTTAACCTTGATGATGAAATGACAGCTATTGCTTGCTGGGAAATATAGAGTGAAATGCGAGTTTTTGAGAACGTGCTACAGTTTACCACAGCTTTGTTTTTGCATAATTGTAGGCCTACATGTTGCGTATTTCATGTCAGTTAATGTTGATATCATGAGTTTGCATCTTGTTTCTTTGGTAGGGTTGTTGGTTGAGGTTATCATGGTTATCAAGGAATCTAGCAAGGTCACAAATGATTTTAGAGGGTCTTTTTTGCTGGCAGGGTTAGGGTTAGGGTTATGCTATATGAAGCTTAGATTTATACAAAATAATTGATTCATGTTTACTAGTTTAATACTTGTTAAAAGCCACTCAGCAATTGTAAACTCATCAGGAGAGTTAATGTTTCAGTAATCTTCTTAGGTGTTTTTTTTCTCATGAAAAGCTGTTGGTTACCAGTGTGATTTTAATACTAAAGATTGCTGTAGTTTAAATTATACATCCGTCTAATGACTCAGACCTTCACCTGCTACAACATCACAAAACCTGTAGCCACAGGTTTTGTGATGTGATGAAATCAGAATTTGTATTCTTAATACTTGTATCTATTTCACTGCTAATACTTCTGTACTTTTACTTACCATTCAAAATTATGACACACTTAAAATAGAAAATTAATGCATGTTAAGCTTTGATGTTTTCATGTCCCTTTTGTGTCCTTTTTCTTTGCAAACCTAAAAAGTTAGTATATATATTTAATATTTCCATACCCCTTCAGTGCCAATATTCCAGCAGCTCTGGTATGAAATTACAATTGATTTGAAAAGCAGAATTGATTCTACACATTGACCTACTTAGCAACAACACTGTTCTAAAGTTTTGCCAGGCTTTCAGCACACGTTTCTACAAGAAGTGATTCAGTAGAAATTGAATACTTTATAGACTTTCAAAAAGAAATTTATTCTGCTTTTTTACAGGGACAATTTCTGTTAGTCTAGATTTGTGCAAATGTTTTGTGCTGATACAGAGAGGGACACACACATGCAGTCAGCAGCAGCTGATTGGATTCTGTGAAGTTGTGTATAGAGTTCAGTCCTGATGACTACGGAACATAAAACACTGTTTCTGCTTTCGTCTTTCAACCTTTTCCTTACAGGGAAATTATAACAGTGGTGTAAAGATACTCACTGATAGACAAGGCTGTGTGTTGTTTATGACACAGACCACAAGTTGACTTAAAGAAAAATTTAATTAAAGAAAAATATCAGTAATTATTTGGCAATGAAAATATGAGTACCCAGTGAGTGTCTGGCCTTAGGCACCATAACTGGCCTGAACTGACCCTGCACTGACAGCACATATTTGGGGTGGTCCCTGGGGATCTAAAGGTACACACTTACCAAGCTGCAGTTGTGGCCCTCCCTACACTGCTCGTTGACTGATTCGCCTCAAATGGAAAATAAATGCTGGCTGAAGGATGTAACACTTGGTACAGAAAATAACATGAGATCTGGCAAGCTTTTCTTATCACAAAACACATAAACACCAGTGAAATATTTATTGAGGCTTTCTCTTCCACACAGCCCCTCTTATGGGTCTCAGTCAATGAGCGTATAATAATAATAATAACAATAATACATTTTATTTCTACAACCTTTTCATGACACTCAAAGACACTTTACAATAAAACCAGTAATTATGTACATTTAAAAATAGATAAGATACATACATATAAAATACATGAACAAAAAAAAAAAACCAAAATACAAAAAAGCATAGGGGAGACCATAGAAATAACAAATAGCAGCAGGTGCGATGTAATATTATTTGAGGTTGAAAGCTAGTCTAAAGAGGTGGGTTTTGATAAGTGATTTGAAATAGTCCAGGTCACTACACTCTCGGATTGAAATACAATTTTTAAATACATAACGTATGTTATGTTTTAAAATTTCCCTTTAATGCTTTCATGTTTTATGTAAAGCACTTTGAATTGCCTTGTTGAAATGTGCTATACAAATAAACTTGCCTTGCCTATTGGACAATCCTTATTAATGTGGTGCTTTTATTGCATGTATGGCAGCGGTCAGGGATTGATTGATGTTTGCACATTTATATTGCGAAAATGAACAGAAATATTTGAATAAATGTAAATTATATAGTAAATTTCAAACCTGGTATCACATCCTGTCCTGGTAGCGTCAGAGAGTGGATTTACATGACTTCTAAGATGCCCAAAAATATTTATATTTGGAAATAATGCCCTTGATCTGCACAACAACTTGAACTTACATGTTTGGTGCGAAAGCCCAGTGACTGTAAATTTTTCTGTCATTGTGTCAGTCTTTGTCTCTCTGACTGTCTTACCGTGTCGGTCTCTCTCTCTCTCTCTCTCTGTAGGTTTGGGTGATGGATGGGTTAAGTCAACAAGGTTCAGTCCTCTGGACAACATGGCTAAAGAACTGGGTTCTCATCTTTTACAAGTCAGTAATAGAAACAACAAATGATGTTCTTGCACTGCGTATGCTCTTTCATACTGTACTGTAGTAGTTACACTACTCTATGCTATGATGTGCTGTATGAAACTGCTGCTCTATACCAAGTTATACTCCTGTATGCAAATGTGTGCTGTACTATTTCAGATTTTGCTATATTATGCTATCCTACATAAAAATGGTGGTCAACAAACTGCTACAAATAGGGCTGGGTGATATGGCCAAAAGTTTTTTCAAAAACTTAATATAATTTGATATTGATAATTATCACGATAAATATGAAATCATTATTTTTTTTTAAGTTTAAAGGCTATGGATATGTGCTCCTGAGTGAAAGTTAAAGAAACCAGATGTTTAATTGTAGTTTTAAACCTAACCCTACCCCTACCCCTATACTTTAGGGTTATGATAAAAATCTTTTTTCAACAAATATGCATGAGTAAAATTAACTACAGTCTTTTTCAGTTACTTTACTTAAAATAAATATCTTAATAGAAAAATGAATTCATTCGTGATCCGTGATATTGAACATTTATTGAACATCTATTATTTTGCAATTGAGGAAAATTATATTGTGATAATTATCATTAGCAGCAAATAGCCTTTACAAAATCTGGCCATACACCAAATGATTAAACCCCACAATTAAATTTAAAGTTTGTCTTTAACACCACATCAATAATTTTGGGCTTCTTCATTCAAGCATACCTTTTACAATTCAGTACTGTAAATAATATTAAAAATCTTGAATCATATGACCCTTTTACACTGCAGGAACCTGGAGCTCAGAGCAGGGTGACAGTTTGTGATCCATTGGAGAGGGCAGACCTCCGCCAAGGCCAATAGTCAAGTCTTTTATCATTAACTCAATAATACCTCACTGGAAACAAATCAAATTTTCAGTAAAATAAATAGCCTAATATTCCTGACATCAAAATAATAAGTGAAGTTTAGAAAGAATGAAGTTGTGCTGTCTGTGAGTTTTTGTCAATGGGCGAGTCCGTGGCGTGGCGTCAAAAACTGATGACTCGCCATGAAACTGGAAGCTGTTATAACTTCAGTGTACATGCTCACATCTGTAAAAAAATTTAAATGTTTGATAAGAGTCCCGCCCTGAACACATCTACAAGCCAATATCCACTCTTTGTCATAGCACCACTTACTGGAAACAGGAAGTGTCTACTTCTATGTTTTGATGAAGCACTTCTTGCAGGTTGGCTTTAAAACTATCTCAGAAAACCTTTATGTACTGGGACATAACGTATAGTTACTGGGACCTCATATACCACATATGGGACACAGGAAGTGCATTTAAGTCCTTTGCACAGCGTCCAAAGCGTGTGGCGCATTGGCGCATTTCTGAAAAGCAATCGCATTTTTGGTGGCCTTAACATGCTCAAAAACTTACAAATTTCCGTGTCATATGGTTTTCGTGCATGGGCGTTGCAAAATGGCTTGCTAGCGCCACATACAGAGTGCCTCCGTAATTTAAACTCCTCCTACTCAATTCATCCAGTCAACCTCAAAATTTTGCTGTGCATTCGAAAGGCATTGACAATGAAAATGTGTGCTATCTGTGACTTTTCATGAAAGGGCATGTCCGTGGCTTGGTATTGAAAATCGATGATTCGCCATTAAAACAGGAAATATATACTGATATTTCACGCAATGTGATAGCGCTACCTACCGGAAACAGGAAGTAAGGCATTTTTGACAAAAATCATTTCATTTTCATAGCGCCACATAGTGGACACAGGAAGTGATGATTAACTCCTTCAGGAATGCTCCAAAATGCACAATAATTCAGAGGCCCGTCTCTTAACCTCCTGCCAATGCGCCGCGGCCGTGACATGCCCCAACGTGCGTCAAGACGCTAGGCTTATTATTATTATTATTATTATTAATATTATTATTATTATTATCATTTTTAATGTGTGGATACATTACTGAATTGATGACTAAACAGTATTGAAATAGGAAAGGAAAAAGACATATAGAACAGCTATGAAACAAGCACACAGGGGCGGCTGTGGCTCAGGAGGTAGAGCGTGTTGGCCGTTAATCGGAAGGTCGGCGGTTCAATCTCGACTCCCCCAGGCTGCATGTCGAAGTGTCCTTGGGCAAGATACTGAACCCCGAATTGCCCCTGGCTCAGTGAATGAATGTGCGTGAATAGTGAATGCCGATGTAGTGTAAAAGCGCTTTGACCGAAAAGACTAGAAAGGCGCTATACAAGTACGGAGCATTTACATTTACCTTAGACAACTGATAGCACCAACAAAGATGGAGGAAAAATGGATCCTCAGGTGCTTTAACTGCGCTAGTACTCACTAGTATGACATCATTTAAAGTGCAGTTGAGTTCTATTACTCAGTACTGCCACTTCTAAATAAATCTAGGTACTCATGGTGTAGTGTCAAGTGTCAGGCACAATATGTCTGCCTCTTGCTCAAACAATCCATGAGAGGATGTCAAAATGTGTAGCTGCAATGACGTGTACAATATGTGGTCTAGTTGAGATGGAAAGTGGCTGGATAAGCATTTAGGGTTCTGCCTGGCCTCCAAATTTCTCTGTCCATAAATGGTCTAGAGCTCAGGCATGTATCGAGCTACGAACTTATGATTTAATGTGCACATTAAATAACATTAAAATTTTGTTTTACAAATTAGTCATTTGTACCCTCAAATAAAAAAACATGATCTGTGTCACTATACAGGCTGCTTTAGATTAATTACATTTTAATTACAATTTAAGCACTGGACTGAACAAATTGTACTGTTCTTTATCTTGTGAGTCACAAATGATAAAAGAGATCTACTGGCACCTAAAAAAATATGCCAGGAGAAAATAAATGTTGAGCTGACGCCTGCATAAAAACAATTTTTTTATTGGTGTTTGGTTTAAGCCAGCCCTGTGATGGACTGGCGACCTGTCCAGGGTGTACCCTGCCTTTCGCCCGATGTCAGCTGGGATTGGCTCCAGCCCCTCGCGACCCTGTATGCAGGATAAGTGGTTGATGATGGATGGATGGTTTAACCCAACATAAGTGATGTTTCATATGTGGCTATTTTCCAGTATTTTTAATATAGTTTAATAAGTCTTTTCACTTAAAAATGTAATATTTAAAAAAATAAGTAACTATAATAGTAGATTTTTTAAGACAATGTTTCTGGCCATTTTTTGCCTTTATTTGATGACAGGTGAAGAGGTTGACACGAAACGGAGAGAGAGAGAGGGGTATTATAGGCAACAAAGCTCACTGGCTTGAATCAAAGCAGCAACTGTTGCGACCATATGGCAAGGTGTTCATTTGGCAATGAAGGTGCTCCTATTATAGTAGATTTAAATGTATTTCCCCTGTATGATATGTTGCCATGCAGCAAAACACAAAGTAAAGTTTTCACTGCAAGTAAACAAGGTCCTCTTGTTACAACACTTGTGCATGCAGAAAGTAAAAAGAAAGAGTGGGAGAATGCAGATGAAGATTTGATTATGTACTGTAATTATATTTTTAAAGATCTTGTTGTTGATGTTTTTGTGGCAGTTTTGCCTTTTCGCTTTCATTTGACAGCCAGTAGATCGAGACATAGCTCCCCAGTTGGGATTTGTACCATGAGTGAAAATAACAGGTGGTGATGAAAACGGATATGAAAAATAGAGTGATAAATATTCAAGTGATTTGATTAATTTAAAGTCGATTTGATTAAAACAGTAGTGATGGAATGAAAACATAACCATTTTTCATCAATCATCATTCACAACCCAAAATTGACATTCATCATTTAAAGAAGTTAAAGAAGCCTCAAGAGTTGAAGTAACAAAAAGTAACTAATAAAAGGAGGTGATGAAAATGCATGTGAATTGAAATACAGAGTGGTTAAATTTAGAATCAGAATCAGAATCAGCTTTATTGCCAGGTATGTGTACACATACAAGGAATTTGACAAAAATACCATCACACAATAATAAAATAATAATAAAATAAAAATAAAATCAGACACAAACTACAGTATAGACAACGCTAATATACACACTATGAACAAAACAATATAGATATATTGACAAATAGTGCAGTGTTCAGTGTTCAGAGTGCAAAGGATGCAAGAGTAAACTATTATTCTCATTATGTACATGTTGAAGGTGGATATGATATACAGGTACACATACACATACATGCATAAATGTACACATGTACACAGTGTGATGGAGCATAGTGCAAAGGATGCTGAAAAAAGTAAGACCTATGACCTTATGACCTGAGGTAGGTGTATTAGTATACAGTATATACAATATGACATAGTATGAGCAGCACTGAAATAGAGAATGATGAATAAATAAATAATAAGTGGTAACCAGTAAACAGGTGCTGATTAGAGACAGAGTTACTGGGTTATTGCACAGGAATTGTTCCTGACACTGTGAGTCAGAAATCAGCTGTTCATCAGAGTGATGGCTTGTGGGAAGAAACTGTTCCTGAGTCTGTTGGTTTTGGCGTACAGTGCTCTGTAGCGCCTACCAGAGGGGTGAATTTAAGGTGAATTGAAATATAGAGTAATAAATTGTCAACTGATATGATATTATGATGATATGATAAGTCAACTGATATGATACTGACTGATATGATAAACTTGATTTACCATTCATCGTTCACAACACTCTACTGTCATTTATCGTTTACTGCATGTGATTTTTGTTACTTCCTGTTGAAACTGTTAATCACAAACCACACCCCCTGACAAACTGATCAAGTTTAGTCATACTGGCCTCAGAGTACACTGCTGGAGCTTGAGCTAGCCAAGATGACTGTAGCGGAGGAATATGCCGGGCTCGGCTGTTAATTGTACAAACCGCCCAAGAAGCCAGTGCTCCAGTTTTTTCGGTGAGTGAAATTGTAGTATTTCATTTATGTGTTAGCAATGATTAGCCGGTATCATTGTTGGCATAAATAGCATGTTAGCTTATCTCGTTAAGCTAATTAGCACAGCTT